CCCGCGTTCTGCGTCTATGGAGAATGGCCTTTAACAATCGAAGCAGCGACGACAGTGAGTCTACGAATAGAAGTGAGTTCGCAGTGAAGTTGCAGTGCAGTGTGGTGTAGTGTAAGAAAAATAGTTATAAATATTTAATAATGAAAATTTATCAAGGAAAGAAACTTCCCGCATCTTTCTGCAGACTTTCGAAGAAGAAAACATATGTAAAGAGGTTCGTACATATAATGCATTTCTAATTGTTTCATTCACATCTAAAATGAAAAATGAGTAAATGTTAAGAAGACTCCACCTCAAATTTTGATGAAAGTACACTCAATCGATGCGTAAAAATCAAGATTTGTCAAAAAAGAAGCATCGTTCTAATCTATGAACAGAGATATTAATTGTTAAAGTTTAGGATCATTCAGGTTAGGAAATCTCACAGCAATGGTTCACTGCTTTAAAAACCCAAATTCACTGCTTTAGCAAAGAATTTGTTGTTAATGCAGAGAACTTATGTTTTTAAAGCAGTGAATCTGTGTTTTTAAAGCAGTGAACCACTACTATGACATCTTTCCTAACCTGAATAGTCGTCGACTTTAATGATTACGATCTCGGTTCATGGGGCAGAGCAACGCTTTTTTCTTATCAAATCTTTACTTTTACACGAAAACACATCGATTGAGTGTATTTTTATCAAAATTTGTGGTGGCCAGGATGTTCTTTACGTTAACCAAAAATGCTTTGTGGACATGATACCTTTATTGAATAAAACAGAAAATTAAAGGGCATTCACCATAAACGCAAGATGTTGGTAGCTAATATTTTATATTTCAAATAAGAATTAAATAAACATTACGGTCTTAAATTAGGCTATCTTCTCTCATCATCTCATCATGATAGACAACCTTAGACCAGATATGTAAATATGAAACCGGAATTTTTTAATAGAAAATACAAGTTTATTGTATGAAAATGATAAAAAATATTTTATTCGAAGTATTGCCCTAGATGGCCATAGCTGTCAATGTAGTTGTCGTCAGACCGCGTCATTGACGTCATTTCCTTGTTCTGACATCTGACGAAGATTTTCAACTCACAACAAAGTTTCATACAACAGTATAGTTTGTAACAGCGTTGAACATGTCGAATTTTGTGCCTGGAAACTACGATTTGCAGACAGCATTGATTTTCTGTTACCATTTGAAGAAAACTGCTGCAGAATCGCATCGAATGCTTGTCGAAGCTTACAGTGAGCATGCTCTTGGTAAATCACAGTGTTTTGAGTGGTTTAAAAAATTCAAAAGTGGCGATTTTGACGTGAGAAACGAAGAACGTGGAAAACCACCGAAAAAGTTTGAAGACAGCGAATTGCAAGCATTGTTGGATGAGGATGACGCTCAAACTCAACAAAAACTCGCGGATCAATTGAATGTGACACGAGAAGCCGTCTCCATACGTTTGAAATCCATGGGAAAGATCCAGAAGATGAGAAAATGGGTTCCACATGAACCGAATGAAAGACAGCAGGAAAACCGAAAAACCACTTGCGAAATGCTGCTCGCCAGGTACAAAAGAAAGTCATTTCTCCATCGAATTGTGACTGGCCATGGAAAGTGGATATATTTTGAGAATCCTCAGATTCGTAAAAGATCATGGGTAACTCCAGGCGAATCATCCACATTGACTGTAAGGCCAAATCGCTATGGAAGGAAGATAATGCTCTGTGTTTAGCGGGATCAGAAAGGTGTGATCTATTATGAGTTGCTAAAATCTGGCGAAACCGTTAATACTGAACGCTACCGACAACAAATGATCAATTTGAATCAACCTTTGCGTGAAAAACGACCGGATTATCAAAAAAGGCAACACAAAGTGATTTTGCTTCATGATAATGCACCATCACACTCATCAAAACTAGTCAAGGAAACGATTGAGGCGTTTGGTTGGGAAATACTTTTGCATGCGGCTGACTCACCAGACTCAGCTCCGTCCGATTACTACTTATTTGCATCGATGGGACACGCACTTGCTCAGCAGCGTTTCACTTCTTACGAAAATGTACGAAAATGGCTAGATGACTGGTTTGGCTCAAAAGAGCAACAATTTTTTTGGCGTGGCATCCACAAATTGTCAGACAGGTGGGAAAAATGTATAGCTAGCGATGGGCAATACTTCGAATAAAATATTTTTTATCATTTTCATGCAATAAACTTGTATTTTCTATTAAAAAATTCCGGTTTCATATTTACATACCTGGTATACAAAAATCTGTAGAGAAGATCAAAGAGAGGTTCAATCTGGAGTTATGTGGGGGAAGTTATATTGAGTAAAGGGAAGTATGATCTTTCTTGTAATCGTTCAGTATCACTCTGTTCAATCCATCAATTTGTTTTTTAATAAATATCTCTTCAGATGTGAATTTTTTGAGATCCACATCTGAAATGGTGTTCATTAAAAAACTAATTCATGAATTAAACAAACAGGGTGATCCTGAACGATTACTACAGTCATACTTTCCTTTACTCAATATAACTTTCCCCACATAATTCCAGATTGAACCTCTCCTTGAACTTCTCTACAGATTTTGTATATAAGGTTGCCTATCATGATGACAGTTAACAGAACATCTTACAAGTACTTTTTTACAACATCATATCTCACCATATCTCGATATTATTCTACATAATTTGTTGGAAACACACAGGTATTATATTTATTATATAACTTGACTCATGAATTATTGTAATTTATTTAAAAACATTCATGCTACAATTTGGAAATTTTGTGTGCAATTTACTATTAATGACGAACATTTGGACTATCGGATTGATTGTAATAATAGGCATTCATTCCTCTGGATCATATAACTGGACACTTGTCTATCATCAGTATTTATTAGGGGAACTCATTTTTAATCATAGATAATCAATTTGTAACAAACGTTTTCTGCGTAATTAATAATTTAAACATAGTATAACGTTAAAACTCAAATTTACGGCTTTTACGTTGTACTAATGCGTTAAATTATGTTAAGAATTATTGTGCTACTGAAGATGGCCTTATTTAAGGCCGTAACGTTTATTTAATTGTTATTTGAAATATAAAATATCAGTTACTAATATCTTGCGCGGTGTATACCCTTTAATTTTCCGTTTTAAATTTAAACCACGCATTGACGTTTATTCTTTAATGAATCGTTAACAGAGAAGTTATCTGTTATGGAAGTATGGAAATATGTTAGACCACAGGCCTATCCGACACTTTGCTCGTGAGTCGAAAACGCCTCCATCTCTCCGTCATCTCGGTACAGCGAGACGGAGCGAAAATAACAAAGGATAGGCGGCAGGGCTCCGCTTCAATTCAGTCCGAATCATAGAATGAAGAAACCAAGGGAGAACCCATTTCTCAAAATACAAT